CCCCACCCCCCCGCTGCTTCCCTCCTGCCATTTCAGGGCTGAGAGAGAGAGATTGGGCCCGAGCCTGGGCCCACGCCAGAGAGAACTTCCTTCGAGAAAAAGGTGAGCGGCTGTGCAGAGCGTTCTCCCCAAGGGCACTTCTGTGCCAGGGTCTTACCTGGTCCGCCTCTCTCCAGGGCTCCCTGAAAGTTCTGCAACAAAACACCGTGTTAGAAACAAGCCTTCAGGGCATCACAGAGTCCACACAGAGGGCAGGAATGGGGCGACGCCAGTTAAGGATTCAAACCCTTGGAATTTGCAACCCAGGTTGGCTTCTCGGCCTTCCTTAAGGAAACATCCGCTGTTTGTGTTCATCGGTTAAGCAGAAGCAGAATGTTCTCCGACTGGCCATGGACTCGGCTGGCCCAGCACGTGAGCCGGAGCAGCCGTGGGACGTGGCTTTGGACTGGCTCCTCAGGCCCGAGCCGAAGGGACTCGAAAGGGCAGATCCTCCCAGGTCTCCATTGCTCTGAAATGCAACCCACCTCAAACGTTTCCCAAAGGGCCGGAGACGACATTTCTTCTCTTTGCCAAATGACACTTTCCAGAGCTTGGTCTCTGCAAACAGTAGACACCGTTATTTGCTTTAAATGGGAGCCGCTGCCCAAGATAAGAGCCCCTGAGAGCGCGCATCAGAAACACAGGAGCCTCTTCCGCAGGGCCCTCCGTGGCCCCAGGAGACCTCCTGGCGTACAAAACATCCCCGGTACCAGGGCTGGTTTTCAAGTGAACTCCGCGTGCAGCTAAAGACCTCAGCAACATTTTGTGGGGCAGCTTGGTGGGGGAGGCCCTGGTATATAGAGGACCCCCAAGTTTAAGAACAATCTGGGGTCTTCCCCTTTATTTTACACTGGTTTTGTGAGGCCTTATGCATTTTGCAATCTGTCTCAAACAAGGCGATGAATAAATAGCTAGGATTTTAGCATTCAGGAGTTCGGTAATTTACTATTTTAATAGATTAGTATTTCAGGATTCTAGTGTTTCATCCAATCGTTTAATAATTTACTAATTTAGTTTTAAGAGAGCCAGTTTGGTGCAGTGGTTAAGGTTCCAGGCTAGAAACCAGGAGACCATGAGTTCTAGTTCTGCCTTGGCCACAAAGCCAGCTGGGTGACTTTGGGCCAGACCCTCTCTCAGCCCTAGGAAGGAGGAGGCCAGGGGAAACCACTTCCAAAATCTTGCCAAGAAAATCCTGCAGGGACTACAGTGGTACCTCGGGTCACAAACGCTTCTGTTCACGACCAATTCGGGTCACGAACAGCACCGTTCGCAAAATTTTGCTTCCGTTCGCGAACTCCGCACCGGGTGATGAACAGGATCCGCGGCCATTTTCCCTGCTGACACACGTGGTTGTGGCTTCCTATAGGGAGGGGGACTCTCCCTCCAAACAATAACCGCCTCCCCACCCGCCTTCCTGTCCTCCACGCCTCAAGCAAGGTTAGCGTTCTCTCTCTTCATACTGTACTGTACTGTACTTTGTGTCACATTTTTGTGGTTTCAAAAAAAAAAAAATGGTTCAGAACGGATTAACCGTATTTACATTGAACCTTATGGGAAAATTTGATTCGGGTCGCGACCAATTTGGGTTGCGATCACTTTGTGTCACATTTTTGTGGTTTCAAAAAAAAAAAAATGGTTCAGAACGGATTAACCGTATTTACATTGAACCTTATGGGAAAATTTGATTCGGGTCGCGACCAATTTGGGTTGCGATCAGAGTCGCGGAACGAATTAAGTCCGTGACCCGAGGTACCACTGTAATTCAGGCAGTCACCAGGAGTCAAGACTGACCCAAAGGCATGCACGCCCACACACACACACACAAGCTTTCAAGCATTTTAGCTTTTTTTAAAAAACTATTTTAGTATTTGCATCCATACTGCATTTTATACCTGTTTGATCCCTCCATCTCTCTATCTTTTAACTACCTCGATGAAACTGTACAGTGACTGTAATGAAAGGACCAAGTGATTAAAGCAGGGGCTTTCTATAGCGTGGAACCTTTCGGGTTTCAACTGACCAACTTGGTTTAAAGTCTGAGGGTCTGGTATGGGGAGGTGGCCACGATCCCTCCTCCCCCAGCCCGGTTGTTAAGCTCTGACAGCCAAAGAAGGCATGGCAGCAATGGGCACCCCTCTCCCCAACTCCCCAGCGATACCCAGCTTAGGCGATGCAAGGAACGATCTGCCACCCTTGGCCTGACCAGCAAGCCTCCTGAAGAGAAATGGGGCGGTGGGGGCGGGGTCTGGAAGAGAAGAGCAGGCGAGCTGGGCCGTCTGAACACGCCCTGGGAAAAGACTGGGGCAGACTACAAGCCAAAGGGGACGGGGAGGTGTTTACCGTTAAAAAGCACAACAGGGGCCCTCCCCTCCCCTCCCCTCCCCTCCCCTCCC